GCCATGAGTCGTGATCTCCCTGGTCCTGTCGCGACGGCGGACGACAGACAACGTCTCGGAACGTCCTGCTCGAGCACGACAACGGCGGCCTAGAAGCAGTCGTGCGACAAGGCGGCCTCAAGCAAGCGGTTGGCAGAGGCGCTGGAGTGTGCGACGCGTTTCTTGTACTTCCATGTTGGTGGTGGCTTTGGTCACGTGAAGGTATTTTGTCCATCGATGGTGTATGTGTGTCAAGATTTCCAAATGCATGTCTGATTTTCTGCTCTGATTATATGTAATACTACAACCCAGCATCAGCATTCTTGGACGTCGGCCCATGTTCCACTTGATCTGTGTGGCACTATGCAGAAAGTCTGAGGCCAAGAGAACTCTACTGCTGCTTCACTGCTTCTGCTGATTAGTCGTATACAAAAGAGTCCTGAGCAGACAAGTATCCTTTTATTATGTATACATAAGTTCATTGCTACCAGTTTTACTTCTCTTTTCTGAACATATTGGTGTGTGTGTGTGTGTGTGTAATATGCTATCATAGGATATTTTATTGTTCCAGTCACATTCATATTATAGTTCATTCTTAGCAAATAGTAGCATCTACTTAATTAATCAGTACTAAGATCTGGTGGTTTTTTGGTAGTTTAATCAGTATCTTGCACTTCTTATAAGGACTCTTTAGGAACTTCTAAATTTTTATTTTTTTCCTTAATTGATGTGTGTTGTGTCTGGTTAAAATTGTATGACTAATAGCTTTCTTTATGTTTTCTCTTCAATTACAGCTTGTGGACACATAGGTCCTGAAAAAGGCAGTTTTGTTGTCTATTGTTGTTATAACTGTGTAAATTGGATGGTTAATGAATAATAAAAAAAATAATAAGTATATAATTGTGCATGTGGTCATCTTCTAATGATTTTTTTACTCTGTTACTTTACTTATCTTGACATTTAACATAGTTCAAACTGCGTGTTTGAATTTCCATAGCTAATTTATAGAGTCCAAAGAAAGAAGAAAAGTTATACTTATAGAACATCCAAATCGGAAAGCTGCCGGAAAGAATGCTCATTCTGCTAGGAGCATATGTACAATAATAGCAGACCATTATCTGCAGATGATATGCAAAAAGCAGAGATGTGTGCCATGTTTATGCAGGAGAAGTATGGCAAGCTTGACACAAGTAAAGTGTGTGAATCATCTATCTTCGTGAACTCAAATGTGCCTCATTTGCCCAGAAGTTCCCTCGCAACAACTGCTAGAAACAACCTGTTGACCCAAGCCAATCAACTTCTATACAGAATGTTGTACCTCTGCCTAATAATCTAGAAATCATGGTCAGTCCAAAGCTAAACAAAGCTCCCAGAGAGGCCCCCACAGAGAACTTGGATTCCAAGTGGATTCGTTGACAGATACCACCAGGTATACCTTTGCTTTGTGCTTCCTCACTTGCTCAATTTCTTAGAATGTTGGATCTTTTCGAGTTCAATAAACTTCTTTGGACAAAAAGAACCAGTGAAATTGTAGTTAATGGAGTGTTTGGCGACTTAAGAACTTGATGTGCATTGTCTATTATTTGTAACAACACTCCAAATTTTGTGAATTGCGTAAACCATAGCTTAAATCAAGTTTGATCTCCAAAAAAAAAAAACAGATGCAGTATAGTATATGAATGGCTATATAGTATATGTAAGATAGCTGACAACTATTGGATTAGGGCAATAATTGTAGGATTAGCCAAGTAGAAGCTCAAGTCGGCTGGCTATTTGACTGGGTTTTCTTATACACATTTGCAGGTTGCGGAACAACCATGCTTAAGATCATGTGTTACCGCAATTAACGGGATGTTGAGCATTCTTTATATTTTCTCATTATTTTGTGCGGATGTAGGTCATGGAAGGACGTCCTCGAGAGCAGCGTTTTGGCTCCCGCCACCCGGGCTTAGATGAGCCCTGGAGTGAACAGTAAATGCATTTAAAATATCAAACAAATTCAAAACAATTATGGTGAAAGATGCTTAGGCGCATGATATTCGTGCAAATTTTGGTGACATTTGGAAATTCGAGGAGCTTGTGGCAAAAAAAATCAGCTGTGAGAGAAACATCTGAAAAACAGTACGGATTTTTCTTTTTTGCCGCGCGTGTTTCGAATGTCCAAATATAACCAAAAATTGCACGAACATCACGCACATGCGCATCTTGCTTGTAATTTTTGGGGATTTTTCTATTTTTTTTGCGATTTTACTTAACCGGGCATATCCGAACCCGGTCTCCGAAGTGGATCACTGTTTTCTGGTTCTCTTTCTACTTTGCCCTTATATTATTCCCCTATCTTGCTCTCCAACAGTCTATTCTGTATTTTGTGTTGTAGGAAGCGCATCAGCCTTCGCTATGATTTTGTTGCCGCTGGCTGCAATCTAATTTTGCAACCAGTTCATGGAAGTTATCATTTGCCCTTACTTCATATAGAGACATTACAAAGTATCCATTGAATCCAAAGTTTTTCCATTTTTTGTGTCACAGTAGCTTTTCCATTGCAGATATTGAGGTGCTCGTCGAAGCATATCCTTTTTCTTTGTTATTTCATTGTACAATTATTTTCTTTAATCTGGGGTCACCAATCCAGCTTTATTCAAGATCCCACCGATCCAACTTCTCGTTTGATTAATATAGTTTATATCCAAGGAATTCTTGTTTAATTTTGATCATGTTATTTTTTTTGACAGTGCTGATCACGGTATTTATCATGTCAGTAGTACCAATTCCCTTATTAGTGCATTTGATTAGTAGTGTCGGGCTATTTTCAGAAGGGTGTGCTTGGACATGTCAATGAAAAGGAAGGAACAGATCATATAGTGGTCCCAGACTCCAAGTAGATGAATGGAGCCAGTCCTATGTTAGAAAATAGGATGGCATTTGCTTGATGCATTCAGATAATTATATGTACCCCGTGGAAACAAATAGGCTGGAATTGTTTTCAGGTGCACATTGGTCATAGTAGAGGTGGAAGTTAAATGTAATCCCCATGAAGTTGAATTATGACCTTGATTATCATTTCTTAATACTCAATACTATTTCGTATCCCGTTGCAACGCATGGGCATTCACCTAGTTTACTTAAAAAAAAAGAGTACTCCAGCTAAGCTAACCTGATACCAAACAGAATATTTTTCATGTAACTGAATAATGCATGGGCAGTTGAACATAAATTACGACTGGGTGACTAACTAGTACTCCAAGCTAAAAATAAACTGGGGAGTCCTAACAAGCTACCTGGACCTTTTTCACATGTTTCATGACCAAAATACAGAATAGGACAAGACACTGAACAACGGGGCTGATGCACAAAGGCTGATTGGTTGATATACAAGCAGATCTTTTTAGGCCAATGGAAAGGTTAAGATGGAACCATTATCAAGTCAGACAAAGAACTCAATGAAAACCATAGTTAAAAAAGGTGCGTGTGCGCTTTGGTCAGAAAGCACAAGACGGTGGCAATACGCACAATTAACTCCTAGCGCTTTTTTTAACAGTCATTCAGGCAAACTAAAAACCTGAAATTGAATGGATAAATCCGACTTTACTCCGAACTGAAAATGCATTTTATGTTAATTACTCCCTCTGTCCCAAAATTCTTGTCTTAGATTTGTCTAAATACGGATGTATCAAGTCACGTCTTAGTATTAGATACATCCGTATCTAGACTAATCTAAGACAAGAATTTTGGGACAGAGGGAGTATATACTTATTCACAGAAAAGTTCAATTCCTAATATCTTACGTTTCCCTTGCAATAACCTTTGAACCAATTGCTGCTTGTATAGTGATCTCAAACATTTGCCTGCACAATGAGAGAGGAAAGAGTACAAAATGAACTTAAGTGGAAAGAGTGGCTAAAGGAAATAAAGTGTCCCCAATCAGCACAAGGACAAAAAAAGTAGTTGCAGCGGCATTTTCCCCAATACCGAAATCCACTTTTTCTGCTTCACAATCCTCTTGATGAAACAACATTTCCCTTCCAATTGTAATTTATAGAGTCATGAGAATGCTCAGAAACAATTTAATCAAAGAGCACTGGCCAGTGACCATCATTGGGCATGAACTATACGTGACCAAAAATACAAATTTTCACACTGCAAATATTTTTTACTCAGTAGACCAGAAAAAAGTAATACAGCAAGTCTAGTGTTGTGTATTCAGAGTCACCCACTGCTGAAGGAAATATAAGTTATGGTGGATTGCTTTAGCTAATTATTGGAATTGAACACACGCATTACTTAAGGAGACAAAGTTCAACTTCAAATTTTCACCCGATGATTAGACAGATATAGGATCAAGATCCGCCAAGCTCATGATTTTCTATGTAAATCCTATAGACAGACTTATTCATTATACGCATCAGAGTCCCAAAACAAGGAGCATAATCGATACCTTTCTATAAATTTCTTGAGCTTATCCACTAATTCTCTTCCAACTTTCTGAGCTTTTTGGTTATGGATTATAGTAGCCATAGCATCAACAGGCTGGCCGTTAAGTAGAATATCCATCTTAACAAGATCAGATTTTTGATACCTGTTGAAGTGAACTGAAGTTAGTGTGACAAGAACCAAAAATAGTGATACAAAGCTGTGGCATTTTTTTCCTTTTCTGTCATAGAAGAAATTCCTATGTGCTACTTGAATAGCTATCTCACATCCAATGTAAATAATGCAAATAATTTGTACACCACTTGGCTAATTAATCCAATGAGTGAAAACAGTTGAAGTCATTTAACGACTCGAACAGTTACTAGTCAAATAGTCACCGGGAGATGTTCCCGAAACATAAGATGTCTAAAGTAAAAAATTGTTCTCGTTGGTACTTAGTAGGCTGGATTAGGGACTTGCACTAGGGGTAATATTCATAAGCAAGGCCAACAACTTTCAAGAAACAAAGGGGATATAAAATGTTCAACGGAAAAGAATGACCAGAGCACAGGAATTCGATGAGCAACAACCTTACAACCATATCATATTCGTTTTCATCTCAAAATCTCTAAAGATGACAAAAACAGTAGTGTAACCAGTCCTTATCTGACTTTTAAAATTGAAAACAATACATACTCAGAATCTTCATAGTCAAAAGTAGCATAACCAGATGTTATGCTTTTCAACTCATTGTAGAAGTCCACAATGATCTCCCTCAAAGGTAATCGGTACTTCAATAAAGCTCTATTGCTGCATCAAACATAGCCATGATGAGCAAAAACAAAAACAAAAAATTACTTAAAAAATGTGATTTAGGGGAAACAATTACGCATCAATGAATGTATATTCTTGCTGTTCTCCCCTCCTTTCCGAACAAAGCATAATTACAGGACCAACATACCTAAAAGAAATGGTTGATCATCATCAAACTCTTTCTAGTTGTGAATGGAACAGAAAAACTAATGAGAAAGGAAGCAGATCTTACTCACTAGGAATAATAATTGTTGCAATGACTGTTGGCTCCCAGCAGGCCGTTATACGTTTTCCAGCATTGAAATTCAAGGCCGCAGGATTCTCAATTTGCACTTTGCTGAACAAAACAATCAAGCTCAGATATCCTAGCAGAGAACAAGTATAATATCATTGATTCATTGTAACTGCTCACCTTTCATCACCATATTCAAAGATATATGGTACAGTTGGTATGGTGGATATGACTTGAGCCCCATATTCCTGTACAAAATGCAGTGGCAAATAAAATCTCATACATAAATGATGACTTCCCTAGAAATAGTTTTATCAGATCATGCAAGAACACTGCCACCATCCTTTTTCCATCAATTTCTCGGTGAGAGCAGAAGTGCATGCACATGGTCCAATTGAGAAAAAAAAAGCTCCATTATTGAATTGTGACATAGGTGGATAGATATTGCAAACTTAAGTGGGTGTAATTATGCAAAGTAAATTCGTTTGAATCGTAAATCCACACAACGAAAATGATAAGAATTCCTCTTCCAAGGCTAAAGGGACCACAAAACCATCGGGGTATTGATTACTAAAAATGAGGTATCATGCAAACTAAACACTAGAATTAGAATCGCTGAAAGGTGTTCACTACTTTTCTTGACAAAAGATTTTGCCTTAATACACACATGGCTGCTGATGCACTAAAAAAATTCCTCTTTTGGCTGGTATTATATCCAATGTACTGAAAAAAGGTCTATGATGCCTCATATTATGCCGTATACTCATGCTGGGTACTATCACCAGTTATAAGTAGGTAAACAGGTTTAGTAGGTATAACAGGCCAATTAATCAGTATAATCAGCCATAATAGGCAAGATAGACCCCCTTACAATCGACTAGCAGGGGCTTAACTGGCTTCTTTCAGTAATGGGGATGCAAATTTTCCTACGAGAGTATACTGACCCATTTTTGTTGTTCGAAAGAACTCAAGGTGGTATTAATTAAGTGCAAAGCTGTTTACAGCTGTGTACAGTATTACTTATAATTACATGCCACCAATAAACTGACAATTCTTTGCAAAAGTAATAGCAAAACTATACTTGCTCAAGCCGTTGATGAAACACATCCATGTGCAGCAATCCTAGGAAACCGCATCTGAAAAGATACACACGACACAAACCCTTGTACGGATCAATAATGAATTTAGGAATGTTTGGACACTTGATAGCATGTGATCAATGGAAGGGGAGCATACTGAGCATGCAGAAAAGCTTATACCTGAAGCCCATGCCAAGTGCAGTGCTCGTCTCTTTTGTAACAGACACGCTGGCATCATTACATGTTAGCTTCTCAATTGCATGGCTAAGAGCCTCAAAGTCAGAACCATCAGCTGGGTATACACCAGAGAAGACCATGTGTCTCACAGGCTTGAAACCTAAATGACTATTTTACATGATGTCACATAATACCACAAAAGAAAAACTAAGAAAAAAATGCATATAGAACTGTCAATAAATCAAATGTGGTGTTCCCAGGGCCCAACTATTAAATTAATCAGATGATAAAAAATGATCTCAGGAGGGTCTGGAATTCCATACCAGGAAGTGGTTCAACGATAGTCTTAGCCTGATGAAGAGTATCACCAATCCGTGCTTCTTTAGTTGAACGCATTCCAGTTATAACATATCCAACTTGTCCAGTGTAAAGCACTCCAGTAGGGGTAAGCTCAGGATGCATAATGCCAACATCAAAGACTTCATATGTGCGACCAGTCGCAGCTGATGAAATCTTATCTCCCTTGCGCATCGCACCATCAACAATAGCAACATGACATATCACCCCTTTGTATTCATCGTAGTACGAATCTAAGAGCAGCATTCGTACAGGAGAATCACAATTCCCAGGTGGGCAAGGTATACGCTCGATAACAGCAGGTAACACCTGGCTAAGGCCTTGACCAGTTTTGGCGGAAGTGAGCAGAGCTTCACTTGGATCAATGTCAAATAACCTCTTCAACTGGGCCTTTACATTGTCTGGGTCAGCAGTAGGCTGATCAATCTTGTTAATGACAGGAATAATGCTAAGGTTTGACTCAAATGCAAGGTAAAAATTTGCAATTGTTTGTGCCTGTACACCTTGGGCTGCATCAACTACTAGAAGAGCACCCTGGCAAGCTGCTAGGGACCTGGAAACCTCATAGCTGAAATCCACATGGCCTGGAGTATCAATCAGGTTAAGCAAATAGCTTGAAGTATCTGTCCCATGGGACTCGGGATTTTCCACTGTATGCTTGTAGAACATAGTCGCGGTTTGGGCTTTGACGGTGATGCCCCTTTCTTTCTCTACCTGTTGATACCAGATATAAATGTTGCAATAAAGGGCTGAAAGTATAAAACTATACAGCAGGGATTTATCCACCTCAGGAACAGGAGGAACTTTAGGAAAATGGGAATATTTAAGAAACAGGATAAGACAACAGTGAAGGTATGTCATTCATGCTAATATTACCATCCGGAAATAAGTAATGACACAAATGAGGAAGCCTAAAGAGAAACCAACTGCCCTCACCATTTTGCAATTTAGGATGAAGAATTCCCAATGTATAATTTTATCAAACTCCATATATTTACCAAATTCCAATTAAGCTAGAGCGTATCTGCTAACCACTGAATATCCCAATGTACTGATAAGGAAATGCTAATAATCTTCTTATATCATCTTGCACACACGGTAGGTTAAATTAGTAGTTACCATATGAATACTTTTTATGGTTTCGTTGCCTTGCCTTTTCTACATCCATCTCAGTTTTTGTGGCTGTGGGTTTGTATGGCAACTGATGTGCCACATGATTTTATCAATTTCACAGGAACACGCAGGTATTCAGCTAGTAATAATATGTAACTGTATGTTGTAAGGCTGTTATCTCTGACGCATTCATTAACACCTGAAAGGAAATCGTCCTTCTATCAAAGTAATGACGTTGCTGGTACTGCAGTTCTACCATGTACGAACTTCAAAATTACGAATGCATCGTGGCAATGAAAGAGCCAACATTTCAATCGAATTGCCCGTGTTTCGGGTAAGGGGGGAGATTTTCGCGTCGCACCTGCAGCTTGTCGAGGTACTGAGCCCCATGGCCCTTCTGGATGGTGCCGGTGAGCTCCAGCAGCCGGTCGGCGAGCGTGGACTTGCCGTGGTCGACGTGCGCGATGATGGAGAAGTTCCGGATCCGCTCCGGCGGGTACTGCCCCAGCTCCGACGCCGACACGCCGGGGCGGGGGCGGTGCTCCGGCGACGCCTGGGAGGACAGGAGGCGCTCGGGGAGCACGGTCGTACGGGAGGGGGCGGGGGCGTTGGAGAGCTTGCGGACGGCGCTGCGGGCGGCCCGCCGGAGCGCGGCGGCGCCGGCCATGCGGAACCGCGGGGCGGCGGGGGCTAGGGTTCTGAGAGGGATTTTGGCGAGGAGGGCTTCACGGGTGGGAGTGGGTGGAAGCGGTGTATAGACCAGAAAAATGTTTGTACAGACTGTGAAGGTGGGCCAGTTTGCACTTTGCAACATTCTTCAGAGAGTAAGGGCCTCTTTGGTTCAAATTTTTTTTATGTAGTACTGTAATTTTGAAGAATTGCAATCCTTAGGAATTTTTCTTACACTGGTAGTTTGATCTGTAAGATTAAACTCTACATTAATTTTTCCTAAGAATACACCTGCCTCTGTTTCATAACATAGTGCATATAGATTTTTTTTTAAGTCAAACATCACAAAATTTGACCAAGTCTGTCGAAAAAAACATTGACGTCTGGATTGCTAAACATATATCATTAGATTCATCATAAGATGTAGTTTTCATATTGTGCATATTTGGTATTGTAGATATAAATATGTTTACCCGCAAAAAGAAAACGTAGATATAAATATGTTTCTCTATAAACTTGGTCAAAGTTTGCATAGTTTGACTTTTCATAGTTTGACTTTAAAAAAATTCGTGCTACATTATGGAACAGAAGGAGTACTACATTGCGTATAAATTTGGGAAACGTTTGCCACCGGCTGACCGGCCGGTCGCTCGGCCACGCAGACGCGCCACGCAGCACAAGGACCTATACACAGGCTTTTTTTTTCTTATCCTCTGCTCCATAGTTCAGATTCATCGTATCATATACGCATCTTATCCTCTCGCCCCCATCCACATCTCCGCAACCTCTCTGTCTCTCTCTGCGTCCTGGCTTCGGCGAGCTCCATGGCTTCTCCGGCGAGGCTGCCACCGGCGGACCCCCATCTGCTCGTGTTTTCGTCCCTCTCCCACGAGATTTTCTAGCTCATCAGCCTTTCCCCTTCCTGCTCCTCGGCTGCCACAGAGACCAGAGATGAGCCACGGGACGGCGAGGACAGAGGGAGGAAGCACGCTGGGAGCTGCAACCGGTGGACTGCAATTAGCGCTCGTCGCCATTGCCGGCCGCAACTGGTTGCACTGCTCTCCAGGGCCGTTGCATCAGATTTTTTGCTACAACCATGCTTTGATTTTGCTGGAACCAGCCCATGTTTTTGCTACCACCCACCCCCACCCTCCCTCCCCAAAATTTGCTACCACAGTGGATTTTGCGGGAACCACTGAACCATTTTGCTACATCCGTTTTTGCTTTTGTTACTACCGGTGTTTTATTGATTTTTGCTACATCCATCTCCATAACATCATCTTTTTTTCCAATCGATTTTTGCTACAACCATGCTCTGATTTTTGCTGAGACCAAACCATGTTTTTGCTACAACCCTTTGCTGCATTTATTTTTTTTGCTGGAACCATAATCTGATTTTGTTGGAACCATGTAATTTCTTTGCGACAAGCATATCAACGTTTTGCTGAAAACCATCTCATTTTTTGCTGGAACCACACAATTTTTTTGCTGGAACCATATAATGTTTTTGCTGGAACCTTGTTTTTTGCTGGAATGTCTCCGCTTTTTTTTTGCTACGAACAACATCGAAATTGATACTGTGGGGCGATGAGCTGGGCGACGGAGGTGCTGCGACCTGCAACCGGCGCACGCCGGAGCTGCGGCCGTCGTCATGGGGAGCTGCAACTACGGGACACGTTGCTGCATGCACGGAACCGACGGGAAACACGGAAGGAGATGACGACGGCGAGGGCAGCGACCGGCGGCGAGGGAGGCGACCGGCGGCGAGCGCGGCAAGCACGGCGAGCGGGGATGGTGGCGCGG